AGTTTAGTGGGATCACGAACGAGGCCTCTGTGGAAGCTTTTTTGTTCATTCTCGCTCTGAAAGCGTATTCTAGATCGTATGGGAATATTTTTTGTCATCGGTGAGCACCATTCTGCTTTTGCTTTTATGCACCTCAATTTTCCGACCTCTCTTGCTTTAATCCCTCTGGCTTTTTCCATGCGATCTGCGTCTCCCCTTCGTTCGTTGCCAGGTTATGCAATAAGTCATCTCACGTTTACAGTTCGGCGACAAGATTTTTACCTCCATCTGCAGTACGGCACATTTCACTCGGTATCAACCAGTGTTTGGCATCTGTGACTTTTCAACTGCTCTTTTTTCTACGGTACAATGGCACACTTATTTCTTCCACATGCGCGATTCGTTCTGGATATGACCTGGGTTTCGCTTGTACGACTACACCTCTGGCACAACTGCAAAGCACTACGAACATATAGTAAAGAAACTGCATTTGACCTATGTTCATATATCAAATAAAAGGAAATAAAAGTCACTCTCGACATTCCAATCCGTTGTCCAACTACAGTGGTATGTAGGAATTCGTGAAAGACTGCATCTTCTTCGTAGAAGATGTGACAGACCTCAAACAGAAGCTCGACATTTGCAAGAAGAACCTCGGCCCATCGAATTGCAATTTAAACTCTCGAAAGCGAAATGCAGGTAAAACGAGGACTACGCCAACGGCTGTATGTAATCGAACGGCGAGGAAGCGGAAGAAGTCAGCAGCGGTGACGAACTCGTTTGACGAGGAAAGCAACCGAACACGGAAGGCGGTGCAGGGCAGCTTCAATCGGAAATTAAAGCATTATTTCTTGTTTGTACGCTGCCCATGAAGAAGTCAAAAGAATATGAACCATCCAAGTAGCTCAGGCGAAAAACTCAGCAAACCACCGGGATTAACCGACAGCCAGTTTCTGTCAGGGGAGGTGGATGAAGACCAGACAACACTTGACTCCTTTCCCAACTCCTTCTATTCATGACGCACCCCTATCGTCAGCAACTCGCATATCGGATTATCAAAAGGTGAATAATCAGGAGCCACCAGCATCAGGTCTGTCGTGATAATTCTTGGGCAACGTTGAATTGACGAAACACATTACTGGTTTAACTAAAAAGTTGGGAACTAGCCGTCTCCTTGAAAGGGAATCCCCGACCAGTCCGAACCCGGATCGAATTTCGAGTCACGACGTGACCATCGGTAGTAGCGACGGGCGGTGTGTATGAACTCTTTTCCTTTCACAGGCAGCGTCGTCAGATTCGGTCACAGTCCACAGTGACCCGGGACCTCTCGGTCTTCTTTCCCCAGAGTTTCCAGTTCTTGAAAAGAAGTAAACACTAGGTATATCGGAGACAATGAACTCTACTACTTCAATAGGATTTCCATAGAAAAAGTACATATCCTTACAATTAAGCTATAAAAAAATAAACGGCAGTGAAACCAAATAAAGGATATTATAGAAAAATCGACGAATAACTTAGACACAGCTGATTTAGTCTGCCATGGCTAAAAGGTAAACAACGAAGGTTGCCTCTGAGTTCAGATAATTGTCGTTTAGTACAACCTTATATAATATGTAGGTAGCCATATATAACCCATATTTTAATGTGCATATGGTCATTTTAGGTCAAGTCTTTCGAACCACAACACTTTGCAATCCATTTGATCAACTTACCGGCTTCTGGAAGCGCAGGTGTAATTAAACGTTAACGATACATAGAAAAGTTGCAAACAGTGGTGCCTTTCCGAAAAATGACATCGAATCTGCCTAATTTTACTTAGATAACGAGGGAATCAGTCGTAAATGTCTCATATAATAGAGATACTTATTCAGACATTCGACCGGCTCTTTAGATAAAGTGTATTTTATTTAAACATGATTGATTGAATGATTCATGTTTAAGGCACGAAATTCAGCCGATGGTAAACGATTTGAAGACCGCAGCATTATCATAATCCAGGCGTGGTTTTGCTATGGTGCATGCAGTGAAACGTGCTGGCATTAAATTCCTTACCAGCTGCTGTACGCGGTGCCCTGAACCATTAACCATCCAAACGACTACATGTATATGGGCATAGGCCCACATATGGGTCCAAAAGTATCATTTATTTAGACCATCTACTTGTAATTCTCAGTCAATGATTTTTACTTCATTTTGACAGAGCCTCGTTTCCATTTCCGTTCATTTTGTGTCCCAATGACAGACATTCTTTTCTCACGTATTTGCCAAAAGGTGAGCAAAGTTAAAAACTATTTCCTTTCCATCGACCTCGCGTCTTCGACCATTTGAGCGAAATTCCCACTGTTCCGGTAGATCATTCCAATTTTCATTAAAGTAACAGTATTCATTATGAAATCAACACGTTTCAAAATGAAACAGTAGTAATCATCCGGAAACTACGCTGTTAGTCATTTACGACAATGAGCGGAAGAACTTTCAGACAGCCTTTTACATAGCCAAACACAGCGCAAAATCCGACTGTTACATTTAACCATACTCTCTTTAATTCCTCATGAAAAAAAATATTTTCTTTCTCGTTGGAACTACTCAGAATGATTGCCAACTTTCTCTGATTTCGAAGCGGATCAGACTTTTTTTTCCATTTTCTGCTGTGAAGTAATACTGTAGATTAATAATTGTATTCTTCACTCGGTAGGAAACCGGAAACACGACTACTCCCATGGAAAGCAGAAGAGGAGTTTTCAGACACAAGTGCATCAATAATGAATGTACTTACGGCATGGTTTCATACGACGTCAGCGCATCGGTACATTCGTCGTAGTGTTTAATGTGCCACTGTCACCTTTTGTCACAATTCAGTCTTTCCTCACGTTTCTGCACCTCGACCATCGAGGCGCGAATTTGAGGGTTCGACGCCGCACCAAGGGAGGTGGCGAAGCGGCAGAATCACAGGAACGCATCCGCCGCCGCACTCATGAGGAACAACAGTTCTCTCTGACCAACGCCATGCAGCGCGTTACGAAATCATTTACCGAGAGATATAAAAATTACCATGTCTGCGCTCAGAGAGGCAAACGGCCAGGCGTCTGCGCACACCCTCAGGCAGGAGACTTGTTTGCCATCGATAACTTTTCGTACTCGTTGAATTTGCATTCTTTCGCATGGCCCTCGGCGAGATTCGGCCATCAAGTGCAACTGGCACTTCGTGTATAAACTAGGCGATAAGCAACTGAAGTTGATCTGACCAAAACGGCTGCAATCGAGAGGCCTGGCCGATCGATTTGCTCACCCTCTTCATCCCCTGCACATTCTCTTTCGAGCGATATGCAATCCGTAATTAGGCCTGTTTTTAATTCCTCGGTTTATTTTGCCATCTCTCTGTTGTTCATCGAGGTACGGCTGCAAATACTGTTCCTTAATCCGGATGATGGTGTCATTCAGACTGTGAAAATGGAACTAGCACCCGAAATAATATTCGGGGCACAATCAGACAGAGGATGCGATGTTTCACCACTAGCGGAGGTACAAGACTTTATGCAAATCTACTGAACGGAGAACTCAAGGGCATATGGTAATTCGCAGAGTCACGTCTATTCATGAGCGACGGGTTCGTAACGGCGAGACACCGGTGAAGTATTCGTATAAACCGGTACCTAGTCTGTCCTATACAAATTTGCCCATCAGAGAAATGGGTTTTGAGGGAAAGTACGAGATAAGTCATGCATAAGTCCTCATATCGTAGGCTACAAAAGCGAAGTTTCGAGGAATCTCCTGGAGGTGTGAATGAAACTAAGTCCATATTTTAAAAGGCTTGATCGTAGATTAGAAAGCGGTCAATGAAACACAAAAATAGCTGCAATCCGGGAATCAGCCCTCAACATCCAGCGAGAAGTTG